CACTTGATGCAAACAAGTCCTTGCCTTACACCTCCATCTATGGAAGAGAAAGGCTCCTGTGGACGCATTTAATTTCCATCCGATTCAACTTGACTCCATGCGATTGAGCAAACCACCAAACTTGCTTTAATTCTTCTTCTTGCAGATTGTCAACACCATATATGTAAGTTACGTGCAATGGCTGAATTGAACTGAGTTGCAAACCTAGAAAACCTAAGAAAATTACCGATCAACAAACTAATGCTTGACAACACAACTACATGCATAAAGTTTCAAATCATGTTTTATGTCAAGCATGAAATTAAGGTATAAGTTGTTTTCTCACCATCTTTTTATTTAAGTGGGTTCAAAAACAATTTTTTTGGGTGTGGTAGTTTTTATACAGTTTTATTTAATTATATAAAAAAATAGATTTAAAGAAAGTTATAAATTGTAACTTTTCTTAAACTAAAGCTTTTGCCACAGTTTGAGATGAAAAGTAAGTCTAAACAATAAAAATCGATTTCAAGTTTTTGAAGTTATCATCAACTTGGAAGCATCTCAAAGTGTGCTGCATTATAATACCGAATAGCGACTTGTTTTTAAATAACGGTTTTTAGAAAATTATTAGATAAGTGACTTATCCTATATAATAAGTTGAGTTAATTTTTTTAACATAAAAAAAAGTTTAGGTGATAATAATTTGAGTAAATCCGAGTTAACTTTACTAAAATGTAATTAGAAGACATGAAATAAGAATAACTTGTAGAAAAAAAAGTTAACAAAATTGCAAACCTTAAAGCCTAATAATCTAATTTTAAATGATAAAACAAAAAAATTCAAAAATATAATATTATAAAAAAAAATCATAATCAACCCGATCTAACTTGATTAGCCTACAATCCACGATATGAGATTAAGATAAAAATATAGAATTTAAAAAAAAAAGCCCAATAAAAAGATTAAAATTCAATTAAAAAACATTAAAAATAATCTAATCTAAGTTAATTTTACTAACTAGCTCTCGAGATAAACTAACAGGAAGAAAAACAAAAAAAAATTTAAAAATAATCTAATCTAAGTTAATTTTAGCTCTCGAGATAAACTAACAGGAAGGAAAAAAATTTAAAAAAAATTCAATGGCCAATAATATAATCTTAAATAATAAAATTGAAGAAAAAAAGACAAACATCACAAAAAAAAATAAGGGAAAAAAACTCGATTCAACATATATTAACTCAACTAACCCAACACTAGTGACATGAGATTGGAATAAAAAAAAAAAATCATCTAGGTGGTGGCCAAGTAGTAAAGACTTGGAACTAAGGGGTTTGCTCCTTCTGTAGTCTCATGTTCGAATCCTTCGTAGTCTCAGGCTCGAGTCCTTGGTTGCTCATATGATGATTACTGGAAGCTTACATGGTTGTTAACTTCAGGGCCCGTGGGATTAGTCGTGGTGCGCGCAAGCTAGCCCGAACACCTACGTTAATCTAAAAAAAAAGAAGATTAGAATAAAAAAAATAGACTTACAGAAGAAATACCTAGCAAAAAAATGAACTAATTTAAATAAAAAACATTGAAAAATAAAATATGAGTTAACCCGAATTTACTTGACTAAGTTATATCTAAGATAACCCAATAGAAAAGGTGAACAAAAGCAAAAAAATCACAAATTTTAAGGACCAATAATTTAATTTCAAATAATAAAATTAAAAAAAAATTAATATCATAAAAAAAATAAAAAAAAAACTCGAATCAATATATATTAACTTGACGAATACGACACTCTAAAAAAGAAAATTTAAATAAAAAAATATTAAAAAATAAATTTTAATATAAAAAATAAAAGAAACAATAAAATTAAGATATTAATAATCAAATATCAAATAATTAATTTAAATAATAATATTTTTTAATAAAAAATCATAAAAAAAACTAAACTTAAATAAGCCCAGTCATCATACCGGGATTACAGGTATGTTCATTCCACCAGGCAAGATCATTTAATCTTATTAGAGATTGAAAAAGGAAATGGAAAAACCATCTAAAGCACTGCTAATAGACCTAAATTGAACATTCCACCAGGCAAATCGGTCCAATCTTGTTTATAAAAAATGGCCTTGTTAGGCATGTTCTGGATGTTGCCACTTCAACTAGTCAACGCCCATCTCCCTGTAAGAATGCGACACCATGGCATTTATGAATATTTATATTAATAAGTTATATTTACAGGTTTTTTATTTTTCAGAAATATATTAAAATAATATATTTATTTAAAAAATTATTTTTAATATTAACACATTAAAATAATTAAAATAAAAAAAATTAATTTTTAAAACACAAAGCAAACTCCCTTAATCAAAAATCAAATCTGCGTCGCAATCACAGTGATTTGCAATCAACAGGATTGTCGCCTTGCTCAGATGCATTGAATTATTGGGCTCCCCTCCATGCATGTGAAGATGAATTATGCTCCCAAAGATTAAGGACCTCACATGCAAAATCCTTTTCGTTTATTCCCAGATAATGCTGTTATTTAATCTATGCAAGCAGAGATTAATCATATGAAGGTGTTCTTCGTATCTAAAAATGCTAAGGATGCCCTATGATTGAGGTTTCTCACTGGGGGTAGAAATCTGACTTTATCATTAACAAAGAGCGCAAAATTAAAATTCCCAGAAAAAAAATTATTGTTTTTTTCTTTTGCTTTCTATTTGTGGATATTTATTTTTTCTCCCATGGTTCAGGGGATAAGCTAAGTAGCTAGAGAGGGTAAAGAGGTTAGAGAAACATAACCTTCATTGTTACTTCCTCACCATCAATTATCACAAGAGGGGGGAAACCCACTTGCTGGCACCCAATTTTTCTCATGGGCAATTCTTGGACTGCAAAAAGATAGAAGCATGGTTATCAAGTTCTGCATGGAAAAGTCACGTTCAAAACTTATTTAGAGCACGATTTTAATTTAAATTGATTTTGACTCCCAAATTGTCGTGACTAGTCCATTGAATCGAGCCCTTTATGGAGTCGAACACTTTATTTAGTCGAGTTTCTGAACTCTAAGAATTCTACGTATGCTTGGACCACAAAATGAAGAACGGAAGCAATTGCAACCAAGGACAGATTAGCTGCGGTCATGAAAGGCGCCGCTGTGAAACTAGCAATGAACAAGCCCAAGATACCAATAAACCAACTCCAAGCCCAAAGATTCCGAAAAGCCCTTCGAGGATGGAAGCACCCTCTGCAGTGCCTTCCCATTATCTCGCCGACCGAACTCAGAAGTCTTCATATTCCATCTGTCTCAACCGTCAATCATCATTGATTTCAGTTTACCTTTCGAAATTTTGTTGTGGATAAGCGGCGTGAGGATTATCTCCACTGGTGGCCCTTGCCACCATAAAAAAAGAAACATGAAATCACCGTTAAACGTCGCCAGCAAAGGTGGAGGCATATATGCGTTCGGATGGGTTTTAGTTCAGGTTTTATTAATATTTTTTAGTTTTATGTAAAGAAAATTTTTAATTTTTAATTGAGATATTAAATTTTTTAAAAAAATTATGTAGAGCCTTCTAATATGATATTTTAATTTAAGTTAAAATTTTATAATTTTTAAAGAAATTTAATAAAAAATCATAATTTGACCAGTTTATATTATTTGATGTAATTTTTAATCTAATCATTAGATTGAGCTGAAATTTTACGAGATATCTTAAAGTATATTGAATAAAACATAGTTAAAATTTTAGGATAAACAGAGTTTGGTAATGCTAAAAAAAATCAAATAAAAACAAAACAACTCATTAAGGGTAAAATAATTATTTATCATTAAAAAAATAAAACAAATCAGTTCTTCCTTCTTTTTATATGTTCTTGATTGGGTAGAAGTAGAATAGAAAAAGAAAGAAAAGAAAAGGCGAGAGAGAAAGAGAGAAAAGTAAGGGAAAAATATAAAAAAAAATCTAAGAAAAAAAAAAAGAAAAGTGAGAGAATAACCTTGTAAACTTACAAAGAAAGAAATAATTGAAAGAGAAAAAAATTTAATTACTTTATTTTTCAGTTAACATATAATTGTTATTTTATCCCGGTTGAGAGATTGTTACAATATTAATTCATATTTGATTATAAATGAATTATATTTAATAAAATATTGAAGAATGTAACTTTAATAGTAATTTTATTTTTTTTTACTTTAGTTTTATATATATTTTAAATTTATTTTTTAATATTTTAGATTTAATATTTAAATTAAAATTTTATTATTAATTTTAAAAATTTTTATATATAAATTAATAATTTAACTTAAAAAAATTTATATATTTATTTAATAACTATATAAAAAAAATTGTTGGCTACGGTGCCACCAGTGCCCCTTCTTGGATCGTCATAATCAGGGACGAAAGTGAAAAAAACACCACCCAATTTACTTACTCAAGATGTTTTTCTATTACCTAGTAAAGCAAAATACAGAGTACTTACAGATATTTTGGCTCTTTTTATGTGAAGCTAGCTAAGTATTGTTGGTAAAGTCAACACTGTTAGATACCAATTGGTGCTATAAATTTAACAATGTTGAGCATTAATTTGGTGCCACTTGCAACACCAATTGGTGCCTCTTATCTTATGCATGAATGTTTGCTTATAAATAAATAAAGTATTTAAGCTTTAATGTACACATAAAAAAGAAATAAATGAGAAAGAGTAGAGTAAGAGAGAAAAAATAATCCTATAAAATTATGAGGTATTTATAAGAGAATAAGTTAAGTGTTTTCTTTTATTATTAAAGAGATTTTAGTTATTTTTTTATTAGTGAAAATATATTATAATTTTCATATTACTTAATAAAAATTTTCTATATTTGTCTATGGACGTGTCCTAATTTGGATGAAACATATAAATTTTTGTGTGTTATTTTTTATTTTATTTTATCTTTTATTTTTTATCTTGCGAGATTTATACGACAGTATATGCTAATAATATCATCAAACTCTTATTGATTTATGAGAGGAAGAGGCTCGTAATTGATTATAAATAACACGATTGCGTGTGCAATGACAATATGCTGCCTGAATCTCTCTCTGGTGCTGCATGCAGCCAAGGACGCCTCTGTTTTCTTGGCATTTTTAGACTTTCTCTGGGGTTCGCAGAAACTGAATTACGGGATAGAATCTGACCGTCTTTCAATTCTCAACCTTCCCTTTTGGCCAAGCACCGGGGGAAAACTGACTAAATTAAACATTCCAGAGTGGTAGTTTGAGCTCACCACACAAAGGGAAGGAGCTGCCTTTTGTGGCAATCTGTTCTTCCATGCTAAAAATGATTGCTGTAGCCTCGAGGGTACCTGCAAACCAGCCAAATAACAAAATCAAATCAAGCTAGTAGAAAAGTAAAGGCAAAAAACAACACAGCAGAAGACGGGGGATACAAAAATAACCCTGGTCAATTTAATCCGGCCAAGCAAACAAAAGGAGCGTTCAAGATCAGCAATCCATTTATGAATGTTTTACGAAGGTAAGTGAGAAAATTGTGATTTTGATAATCAGAGGATAATGTGATGCCCCAGGAAAACATTAGTCAAGTAACTGCATGAAAAATAATCGCCTACAGAACATATTTCCTTCTAATGATATGTCAAGCATCAGGCAGCATATATTCTTAAAACCCGGCGTATTACTGCTGCTCTTCTAAATGTTCATAAAGGAAAAGAATATCTGGGTTTAGAACTTACTGTTGAAAGAAGGCTGCAGGGAGCAAATGACAGTGAAGATGTAAAAAATGGAGCTCCCGTAGATCTGTTTCCTTTTCTGTCATTCTTTGTTGGGTCCTCATCTTGGGTCACAGAACCAAAACTTGATGGTGTAACATCCTCCTCTTCCTCCTTATCTTTAGCAAAAGATTTCTCCTCTTGTTGGGCTGACACACAGCTATTCTTGTCCTCCTGCAAATCCATTTCAAGATTCTCTTCCTCCTTTTCTCTCATCTTCAGCTCCTCATCCAAGTCTTCCATTACCTCTTCTAAACACATTTCAGCTTCTATGAACTCAAGCTCCTTTTCATACAGCTGTATTTTTATCTCGCTAGCTTTCTTCTTCTCTCCAGTCCATTTCTCTAGTTTATCAAGCACTGGCTTGCACACATTATCACCTCCTCTTCTCCATAAAACTCATCAAAACCAAGAAGTAGGAATTGAACTTTATCAGGATCGCATCTTCCCCACCTTTCAGAGGTGGCTGCCAAAATAACCGAACCCCATGTTCCTCATCCTCATCCTCAACCCATTTGATCCTGTTCGAGTGTGTAGGATGACAGGATCTCCAGTATATACGAGTCTAGATGGATCTTCAGGATCAGGTTCTGGTTCTTTGTTAAGAATAACGAATTCAGGAGCCTCCTCTGTCCAAACAAACGTAAAAATGCGAAGCACCAAACAAAAGGGAAAGAAAGAAGCATTAGAAGTGAACTAGAAAAACACTAGCAGCTAACCTAAAAACAAGTATACGAAACTATTTCATCAACTGTGGTTTTGGCTTAAAAAAAAGACATTTTGCAAAACCAACCACTTACAGAGTTTCAGCTGTTAAGATTTGTCCAAAACCATCTCATTTCTATCAGAGGGCCAGACATTGATGAATGATGATCAATATATAATCAAATCCATCAAAATCCTAACTTGAAACTTTATAAATATACATTGAAGAATCAAGGTAAAAAAAAAGAAGCGGCGATAAAATCTGAATAAAAAAACTAAGTGTGAAGGTTGAAGAGCCTCATATAAGAATTTCTTAAGCTTACAGTATGATAAAAATAAACTTTGCCATATAAGAATTTCTTAAGCTTACAGTATGGTAAAAATAAACTTTGCAAAAAAAAAAAAGGTATAAAAAAAAATAGCCATTAAGGAAGTTTTGAAGGTTTAAACTTCCTATATCCTAGAAGGTAATATTGTCATGAGGCACAGCCCTTGCTCTACCTTCAATGTTTTAATAATATTTTGCATTCGTTTTGGTGTTATATTGTGTTAAGCTTGGATTTTAATTAATACATAAAAAATATTGTTTTTCTTTACTTAATCCTCCTTAAAGTTGGTTGTAATGTTTGCTCAATATCTAAAAAATATTTGGATAATTGTCTTTTATAAAATGAAATAGTTTTGGAATATGTTAAATGTGGTAATAAGATTTATGGTGTTTTGCTATATTGGCTAATACATGTTTTTGTCTTCTAGTTTTGGTTTAGGTTTATTAGGTGTTAAAATGTCAGTTTCAAGCTCTAAAACATTGATTATGCTTGATATTTTAATTTGACAATGTTATAAAATAGAATCTTATATATAATTTTAATAATTTGATATTATTTGTTAGTTTTTTGAGTCAAATATGCTTAGTTATGGTAATGATATTATTTGTTAATTTTTTCGAGTCAAATATGTTTGGTTATGGTAATGTATTTTTGTAAGGACAAAAAATAATGTGTTTAGAGGTATAGAAAGCCATTTTTTAGGCTCAACGGTGCCTGAGTTTTTGGGCAGTGGTTGGGTTTTCTAAGACAATATTTTTTGTGTTTTTGGAAAGAACATTATCTTAGTTCCATGATTTGGACCAGTTTTGATCCCTTTCTTTGCACCTATAACTTTGTTATGCTTGTTTAGTTAATAATCTAGGGTCTATTTGCATTAATAATAAGTTTTTGGGGGATTTCAATTCTAGAATTTTAGTTTTGAATTGAAACCTATTTTTAACAGGGTCTATTTGCATTAATAATAAGTTTTTTTTTTTGGGGGGGTTTCAATTCTAGAATTTTAGTTTTGAATTAAAACCTATTTTTAATAAAATTATGATTTGTTAGTGACAATCGAAGTGAATGGATACCAAATTATCAATCCTTGCATGATTTCCAACACATATATATCTTTGATTTCTTTATATTTGATATTGTTTTTCAATTCATGTTTTCTGGGTTCATGAAGAACATTCATTGTGTTTTTTATTTTTTATATTTGATCCATTTTCTTCAAGAAATTTTGAATTTTTTGTTTTTTTAATCTATTTTTTAAATTTAGTTTTGTTTTTAGGTTGTTTTTAGGTCAACTAGGTTCTTTGATTTGGTTTATGGTTGAACCAAATATTTCGAGTTAACCCGATCAGGTCAAGATTGAGTCAAAAGATTAAGACCTTGTTTGGCTGACAATGTTTTTGCTAAAGAGTCTTGTTGGGTTCAAGGGTGTGTTTGACAAACACTCCCTTAGGCCTGTTTGACAGTTTTTATTTAAAGAAAAAAATGAGTTTTTATCAAATAAAGCCTAAATAAAAAAAACATTTCCCCTTATATGGCCAAAAATCCTAAAAATTATTTGAGCATTATTTTAAAAATCTAAAATATTTGGGCATGTTTTAAAAAATATATTGTATGAATTTTACATCAAGTTCGGAAAATTACAAAGGATTTTAGCCTATATTTCAAAAATATTAAAATTTATTTTTAGCAAGAAAATATTATTCACTTTTAATATAAGTATAAAAAATCTAAAATGGGTTAATATCCAAAATATTATCAAGGATAATAATTTATTATTACATACTTTAATATAAGAACAAAAAACTTGTATAAGGGTAATATTTAAAATATTATTAGTAATAATACAACTTACATATTTATAATATAAGGATAAAAATCACATAATTTTATCTAAAATATTATTTAAAATGACGTAATAACTAAAAATTTTAATTTTACCCTAAAAAACCTCAACAATAATTGAGAATGTTTCACCTTTCTAGACCGAGTTCTTCATCTAGAAAATCAGGATTTGTTTATCATAGTAAACTCGGCATAATAGGTTAATTAAAACAGTAATATTATTATATTATAGTAAACAAAAAAAAATAATACAGCTTATTTCAAGTAAGATGTAAGGATAATATCTTTTCTTTACATAAATAATTTATTGTTAAGAATTTTTAAAAATCTATGTAAAAATTTTAATAATCATAATATTAAATAATGATTCCTAAACTAACAAAAACCCTCCCGAACATCGCCTAGAAAGAATTGTTGTGATGTTGCGCCTTCGCGAGGAGGGTTCAACAGCCATTGTGGGTAAAAATAATACCAAATGAAGCATAAATAAGAGATCACATAATCAACACATTATGAAGGAATTCTACCAGAGAAAACTGGATCTGCAATTGTGAAATGCAGAAATTATAAACCTAGAGACAGTTGATTTGGGGCACTAACTGTTAAATGTCATTAACAGTTAGGTGAGGGAAAACACAACGTGATTATAGATGGACAAGCTCAAGCATTCATGAAAAGAGGCTGAAATCCAATGCTATATCCTGCATTCCCATGTCTCGTCATGTAGGATATTACACTGCCTGGTTAAAATGCTTGGCTCCTGTGTCCGACGAACATTTAACCAGCAACCGCTAACGAGAAACCTTCGTAGACTTGAGAATTATATTTTTGAGAAATACGACAACATGAACTTGGTCAGCCATCAGATGTGCATCTCTAAACCAAAGGCCAAGGTTATATTGTATGTCAATTTGCAAATGCTAATCCATGCATTTACACATTCAAAAAGGATATCATATTTCATCAGTCATTGATTATCATCACTTAACATAAAAGTCAAACCCTGACTTTCCAGCCCAGCAGAGAAATACCTTGAAAACATTTTAACCTTCTTAAAGAAAGTGGAAACGTACCGCAGAAATGTCTTCGTCACAATCAGTAGCATACTCCACAAACTCTCCAAAGTAGAACCTACCCTATGCGCACACCAAATATAGGAGGCCATTCTTTTATGAAACTAAAATGTCAAAAACAAAAAAGTCATTATCCAGTAATGATCCTGCCACAATGCAGTGCTGAAAAGGAAGGCTTGGAGACAGTCCTATCTTTCAACATAAATGCATGAAGTAATTGCGTTCAAGACTCCACCTGCAGCTTTGCAGCTGCACTTCTTTTTTTTTTTAGGTAAGATAACTGTCCAGATAAAGATCATTGATACTTACACCTATTAAAAAAAGTACATTGCTTGGTATCAAAAGGATGGTTAATTGTTGTTCATCTATGAGTCTATCGCCTAGTTTCTTATCAGATGAGTCCATCTTTACTTTTTTGGATTCATTTGATTATAGGGACATCACTGCTTCCGGCATGGAGAGCAGAATCCTCGACTAAGTAAGCAAAAGGCACTCGCTACATTTGAAAGGGTTCAATCCTTTGACAGAGATGCAAGTGATCAGAAGCTCACACCACGGGAAGTGGCATGTCCAATTTAGTAAACTTTGGATGAAGGGGAAGAAACCAGGCACTTATGCATGTAAAGACATTGACATAAAAGTAGTATGTAGATTTGAAAAACAAATGAACAAAAATAACTATCCAGCTGAACACAAAGAACTTACAGTTTTTCCCCAAATTGTCTAACCCACTCGTCAATCTCATGAAAAGGTATTTCATACTGCCCGCCGGCCAGATGCATGCTATCTTCAATATCCATCTCCAGCCATTTCCTGTCCTCTGGAGACATAAAATCTCTTGATATAATTCTCCCTTCAGCGCGCATCTTTGCTTCAAGCCTGGAATAATAGTGATACGCAACTCAAGTTATTTATCCTGTTTGGAAAAAGACCACTAGAATTTTAACTCGTTAATCATGCCATAATGATGAGAGGATGCAAAAGTATAAACATACTTGGAACCTGGTATGGGTTCTATATCAGGTATATACTCCGTGACCCTCCATGTTGTTCCGAAGCCATTCACCTTCATATCTACAGTTAGGAAATCACATAAAATCAGAGTAGAAGTTACATTGTTAATAGGCCGACCAACACCTTTATGACTTCTTACACCCCAATTGATGGCAAAAAACTAGCTTTAAGTGTTTCCATCCTAGTTTGAAGCATCAACTATGAATTATGAAGCCTAGAATGTATCAAAAAGGAATAAAAATCTAGACACAAGAGGGCTGTGAAAGTGGGATGTTCTAACAGCATATGACAAATTTTGTCTGTTTAGTGAGCTTGGTGTTTCCATGACTTCCCTATCACAAAGAAAGTGAGAGCAAGTATTGGAAAAATATGTATTTCCTTTACAAAAATCACATCCATGGAGCCTAAATGCAGTCCTAGCTTAAATTTACTATAACTTGCTATGGACTTCAGCATTTGCTAAATCCGCATATCATGTCGGGAGGTTCTACAGCTATGCAGAAGCTTTCCAATATCCATCATCCACTAAACAGCATATTATTTCTTCCATTTCCCCATTCAAGATTGCTAAATTACAATGATCACTGGAAGACTAAGATAAAGTGTTTCTTGTGCAAAGAGAAGCCAAGCTTAGCTATCTGCCTGTTCTGGTTTTTTGCTTCATAACTTCAAGCTCTTGGTTTCTACAACGGTATATTCTCAGACTTCTTTTGTACATGAGATGCTTTATATTGCATTGGATACTTGATAACAACATGCCATGTACTAGGTAGAGAAATAGAATGACAGTGCATCAGCATTTCTATTTTCTGGATGGCCGTGTGAATCAAACTGCATCACTTTGCTGTTAACTTTTCAAAATTTTACAATTTTTTGCCACGCTTTTCACTGTTAACTTTTCAAAATTTTACAATTTTTCGCCTGAATTACCCTGGCATCTATTGTCGTAGGTGTATCGAGTGAATATATAGAAGTGCAGGGGTGTGGCTTTTAAGATAGACAAAGTACAGACCTGACAAGCCCCTGTTCAGCAACATAAACACCCTTGCCATGTGCCAAGTCATCCCAGACAGAGCCTTTGTATCTTTACAGAGCCAAAACACGAAATAACAGGTAAATGAAAAGGTTATCATGTGATGAACTAGGAGATAGAAGCCATGGAAAGGAACAATATACATCCAAACCAGACACTGCATATGAGCAATTCAAAGCATATTCCACCAGTCTCATAAATCATAAATGTAATAAAATCCACAGCCCCGTTAGTCACACCTAATCTATTAGGCACACAAAGAAAGAAAGCCAACAAAGAAAAACAAAACCGAACTACTCAATTAGTATCCATCAAAATCAACTCAAAACTAAAGGAATGTTTCGTAGACTGTATTTCCATTGCAAACTAGCAAACATATCATGTTTTATCACCTTTATCAACCTAAAATTGGCCAAAGCACTATAAACTACACATAACAAAGAAGTACATAAGTCAACTAGAACCAAAAATAATCAACACAGACTCAGCATAGAGTGACAAAACCATAAAAAAAAAAAACTGGATTAATCAAGCAACCAAATGCTCTAAGAACACCAATGCAGCTGTTAAGAAAAAATCACCAATCATTCATCCAAACCCTCTCAATATCACCAATGCAACTATTTGCGCAAAGCAAATTATTAAAAATGAACAAAAATCCATGTAACAAAAAGCAACCAATAATAATAAAAAACCATGAAATTAAATTAAATTAAATTAAAAAAACAAAGCAGGCACAAGCACTTACTATATATTACTAAATAATTTATTTAGTAAATATAAAAAAATATTAAAAATTAATTTATTTTTTAGAAATTTATTTTTTATAAAAGCTACTTTTCAAAAATGAATTATTTTCTAGCAATCACATAGGGTTTTAAGATATTTATCAAAATAATATATCTAAATGAAAAAGAAGACATAACTTTTTCACACCATATTTATTAAAACCAATTAGTATTAACTGCTTTTTAAAAATAACTAATTTTTAGTAATTAAACAGGTAAATAACTATTTTTTCAGTAATTAAACATGTAATTAAATAGGTGGTGAAGATATTCACCAAAACAATAAATTTGAATGAAAAAAAAAAGACTTCTTCTCACTATATTTATTAAAACCAGCTAGATCAATTCAATGCAAGGTAAAATTACAATTGGAGTATTGAAACTAATGAATTAGATGTTTAAAAAATTTAAAATGCTTTTTGAAAAAAAACATCAATAATTTTTTTTACTAGTAGTAATCTTTCATACCAAAATACCCAGCCCAAATCATGGGACAAATGGGTTCGTCCTGTTTTTGTAAATTGCATGCAAGGAATTCATCCAAAGAATCAATAGAAAGCAGCTAATGATGTTTTTTCAAAAGTATATAAAAAAAAAATAACACGACCCGATCAATTATTTTTAAAAAAAATCAAATTGCATTTTGAAATGAAAAATAAAAAAGTCAATAGTTTTTTTAATAATGTTAAACCAAGCTAGCTTCAGGTTAGCTTTCTTCTAATACCCAACCCAAGTCAAGGAACAAGCTGGCTAGTCCTGAATTTTAAATTGCATGTAAAGAACCCACCAAAGAATCAACAGAAAACAGCTCATGATGTATTTTTTTAAAGTAAAAAATAAAAGAAGACTTGTCGATGACTTGACCGAATATAAAAATTAAAAAAAAAAAACCCAAAAGGCATCTTAAAAAATATTTAAAAATGATTTTTTTAGCTAGATTATAATACCCTTTAAGTAGGTCAAACCCAGCTAACAGGTTGATTTTTTTTTAATACCCAACCCAAGTCATGGGACAGAAGGGCTGGTCTTGGGTTCCAAATTGCATGCAAAGAAACTCACCGAAAGAATCAATAGAAAACGGCTCCTGATTTTTGTATGTCCTTTTTCCCGTCGAATGGTTCATGTGAATTAATGATCATCAAGAGATCCTTTGTGCTGAAGAAAGAATGGCAAACATAGAAAACGGCTCCTGATTTTTGTATGTCTTTTTTCCCGTCGAATGGTTCATGTGAGTGGATCATCAAGAGATCCTTTGCGCTGAAGAAAGGATGGCAAATGGGGAAGATTAACGGTGACGAAAATTGGACGTCCTTAGCACAGGCAACATGGCCTTGAAAAACAATTCAAAGGTGGTTCGATTTTTACTCACGGCGATCGTGGACATTTTTGTCCGGAGCCCTGTTTGTTCTGGAAAGAGCAATTGCGTCCTTGCTATTCATTTTCGTAATTTCACCATGTTTAGTTCACTTCGAGAAGATTCAGTCAAAAAATATATATTATTTTCGAAAAAAAAAAAGGCTTAAGGGGAAAAAAAGGTACCGATACAAGAGATAAAAATATTGTTAAAGTCCATCTTTATCATTAAATCCAAAAATCATACCTCTAATCCTGCCATGTTTGCATTTAACAAAGAAGCAAGTCCTTACAAAAGCAAACAACCGCATTTAGGAAAGTATTAATTAATTGTTCAAGAGTGCAGTAAATATTGTGCTTTAAAATGTTTTTTATATATATATATATATTAGAATAATATATTTTTATTTTTTAAAATTTATTTTTAATATCAGCATTGAAAAAACTAAAAAAATAATTTTAAATAAAATCCTAAACAAACATTATTTTCACAGCATTGGCAACATTCCATGAAAGAAAATGTTTTTTTAATTTCTAAAACCAAGCATACACTAAGGCCTGAATGCATGACGACATGAATATGAATCAATTTTTTTATTAAAATAAAATAATATTATTTCATTCATTTGTTTAAAAGAAACATTGATATTAACTGGATTGGGTTTGAATAAATTCAAAATCAAACTGTAAGATCAACCAAAATTTATCATTTTATTTCTTATTTAAATTAAAATCTATATAGCTCATATCAAACTTCGAGTCTGTGGGTTTTTTCTTAACACAGAAGAGGCTGGCTGCCGCAGACATGCATGGAAGTATGAATTTAAGTGTACCAACTCATAAACACTCAACCTCAGAGAAACCAGCATGGGAGCTAGGTTCGCGTGGAAAGGCAGAAGAAGTTCACGGGCTTCTACAGAGTGCCGATGGTTGGCTTGTGAGTTGCAACTGTCATACTTGACTGGCAACATGATGGATTGACCGAACTGTAACGCAGTCCCTTCTGTTAGAATAATGCAAGTCAATCCTTTTAATCTTGAAAGTTATAAATTATTTCTCTTGCTGCAGCCTGCAGCCGGCAGCCGGGGTAGTGGGTGGCGGTGGCTGCAGTGCACTGCCGTCTCTTAACTTGCTCGTTTCCACCGTCGAGAGGATTTGCTCAACTTCCTGTGTTAAAATCATGTCCAAAAACAGGGCAAATTTGCTAGTTCAGATTCGAGGGGCTTATTGGATCTTTGCGTTTGCTTAACCTGTTGCCTTGCAAGATCTCGGTCTCTCTTATCTTATCAAGTCACGTAAATATAGTAAGTCAAATCTATGATTTTATTGAAATATATTGTAAAGAATGATAATATATTTTTCATTATATTTAAATCTCACTTCCTCGAGACTTTTCTGTACTTGAGAATAAGGGAGGCTCCGTATTCTATACTAGAGATCACACTCCCTCGCGGATAGTAGAAAATAAGGCGTATGAGAAAGTGATATTCTCCTAGAAAATTGAATTATTGAGATGAACAAACACAATAATATTTGAAATCCTAATTTGCTGACTTATTTTTTCATCCGATTTCTTAAGATCATATTCTTAAGAAATTAATATACTACTAAAATATGATTATCAGCTTTGGAGAAACAAAACAATAAACTCTCCCGAACTTGGAAAACAGGGTGAGAGATCCATCTGGTTGCTTCAAACAAGTGGGACCGTGAGCTGGAAATGGTAGAATAAAAAATAATTAAAAAAAAAAACTTTAAAACGCATAACAAACCTCGAAAACGATCACTCCCTTGATAACTATGGTTGAAAATTTGAAAACATGCCCTTTCAAATTTTCTTTACAATTCAATTCTCGAATATTTAAACTTTCTTTCTTTTGCTTTGATATCTAACTGTTTTATTATTCTAATCTCCTCCTTAAATTTAACATTGAACCAGTGTTTTAAAATTATTACAAGATTGAACTTTCCTAAACTTTAAATCCATCCAAGTTAAAAAAACAAAAATAAAACAACTTAATTAATCTAGTAAAAAATTCAGGTTATTAAAGTCTTGTCATTAACTCATTGAATATTTATTTTTGTTTCATTAAAATAATATCTTTTAATATATTTATTTTTTAAAAACAATAAATTAATCTTTCAACCCGGGCCTTTACCCAGTGGGATTTTAAAACGTTATCCTGTGGCTATTGAGATTTGAACCCACATAGTCCCTTTTATTTCACAAGGTGCTTTCCCCTTTCGCACCCATGCGTTCGGAGGAAAGCCCCAGACCGTAAATCTGCTTCCTGATGTCCATGCATGCGATCTTTAACAGGGAAATGGATTAGCTTTAATCAAAAGCCCCCAAGCCCCTACTGCTCTAAAGAACTAGTTGTTTTAGAATTATTTCCATGCATAAAGTCTTTGTCGACGAAATGGGTGAGAATGACGTTGTAATATAAGAATTATTGTCATTTTTTCCCATGTTATTCAATCAATGACATTGTAATATAGGAATTATTGTCATTTTTTCCCATGTTATTCAATCAAATTCAAAGGTCGATCTGTGCTCTCCACCACATCGTTCTATGTCTACAGTTAACTACAAGGTGTTCTTCTTCCATTTCCCCTAGGACCCCTACCATCCTTTGACTGCCTTGTTTAATTAGTTGAAGTATTAACCATTTACCTTAGCCTTTTATCTTGTACTTCTGTCTGCTTCTTTCAGACACCATTCCTGTCATTGACCCCACCAGCGTGATGTACGCACAGGTAATAATGAAACCTGTAGGTGTATTTAAGGCCTAACACAGTACAAAATAGATTGGGTTTTAAACCACATTTCAAATAAATAAGTAAACAAATACCACTTTTGTTTGAAAAAATATATTAACTACCTGGAGATTTTTTGGGAGGAACAAATCTACGTTGTCCTGCTGTTTCCAGTTTGAGTCCTACGGTTTATTACAGAAGATGGGGTCACAAGTCTGTATGCAATAAAATATTTTTGCTCCTGAGCTGACCATTAATGATCCTTTTCTCAGTTTTTAAAAGGCAGCCACAGATTATAATTGATAGGGTTTATGACATCAATCAACCAAACTACTTTAATGTTTAAGTTTTAGTATTTAAAAAAACTACTTTAATGTTTAAGTTTTAGTATTTTTTTTAAAAAAAAAAGATTTAGCATTTTTTAATGTATAAATTTTTGGAGACATCTGTAGTGGAGGAAGACGTTAATGGCAATTGAGCTCTAGCTTCGCTTCAGAAGTCTAATTTGAATAATCAACATCGAGTTCCAAATCACGAAGTAGTATAATTGTTTAATTTTTGCAAGAATATCGCAATCAGTAATTGGATTTTAATTCAAGAATACTTTTTTTTTTCCGGCCAGTGGAGAATACACAGGACTTGGGTTTTAGCCTCTCTTGCTTTCTTGCCATGAATTAGGAAAATTGCAGCATAAAAAGTTGGTCAACAAATTCAAGAATGGGGTGAAAGCTAGGGGAACAGGAACGAGGTAGGAGCCAGCTCGTCGCTCTTTCTTTCTCCTCCTTCAATTCCACTCTCTCCACAGCTCCAGATAAACACACTTCAATGTACACACAGCTTCCTTCGTGATTTTTAAACTAGAAGAAAAGGTCTACAACTTCTATGCTTATGAATTGGTATAATGTTCACAGGGAGATGATCAGCTCAATTATTGAATTTAAATAAAACATAAATCTATAATCACAACAACCATCAACATCGTGCCGATATCAAAACATATAAATCATAGCAACCTTACCACTACTTGTAAACTAAACCAGATGTTAAAGAGCTGAAAACAAATTGAAACCCATCACTGTCCCACATTTGAGCAGCACTGCTCCCTCCATCTCATAATCTTACATGCGTTTTTCTCTTCTCCTGCCATTTCGCAGAAACCTCGCATCCCCATAGCAGCAACAATAATTAGCAAGCACGTAAAAGCATTTACTTTCACATGTTGTTATAGTAATATTCTTTCCTTTTTTCTTACCTTTACTTACGTTTCTTTGAAACCACCGTGGCAGCCGTCGTTTCTGCCTTTGTTGGTCGTGGCAGTCGTTTCCACGGCTCTAAAATAACCGAACTGTCTCTATACCTATAAGGCAGCACATGACTTCTCCCTCTCTTGGATCTTACAACGGGCGATGATGTGTTATCCTCGTACAAATCCACCACCCAACTACACTTGCAACTCTTTTTTGACCCGCTTGTTGTTTCTTCTAGTTTCTCTGAATCAGATTCTTTGTCTTCTAAATTACCCGAAAACATCTCTGCTGCCTCAATAAGAAGAGCCAAAGAATCTTTATTGGATTCGTTCTTTTCTTCGTGGCATGGCTCCTGTTTGACTAATTCTTTCTTGGTGTCTTCTTTGATCTTAGTCGTCTCTTGATCATCATTGACTGCTTTGATTTTGCTGCTGATTTCATTGGATTGGTTTTTGAGATTTGTGGTCTTTGAAATTTCTAAAGTTGTCTCATCGACCCCTTGAGATTCTTCTCCAGTTGCTTGAACTGTAGGAGAATCATAACCGACCTGGTCCCCAACAAACTTGACACAACATTCTCCTACTGACGAGCTCCTGTCAACCGCAAAAGCCTCCATAGAAGAATCATTCTTTATACCCTTTTCAACAAAACTACAAGCACTCAATAAGGACGACTCCTCTGATGATTGATTTTCTTGGTTATCAGCTTCTAACCAAGCAGGACTCAAACCTATGTTCAAATCAATGTCAACGCCTCTATTCTCCTTAAATTCAAGAATTTCACGATTCAAAGATGTTTCTTTTGAGATTTCTTGAGGTGGGCATGAAGCAATAACGTGTAGAATCTTTTGGAGGCACATTTGAGACTTGGAGAACCCACGGCGACTAGTAGTATTGATAAAGCGAGAAGAATCGCGTACCTGATTGCGATGGTTCAAGAATTGATAAGAAGCCATTGATGAGACTAAAAGCAAGCAAAACCCTTAGTTTGTTGTTTACTGATCAATCCCTTTTCATCTCTCACCTGCTAGAGTTTTCTTCTGCTTCTTTACATGCCATTCAAGATCACGAGAGATAGAGGAAGAGAGAAAAACAAGATAGAAGCTCTGTAGAGGGAAAGAGAGAGGAACCACAAGCCACAAGGCAAAGCACGCTTCGGCCTAGAGACTTTTTTTCCCCTGATTTTTATATGATTCATGTCTTTTGCCCTTTCCTTGGAATTGCTGCGTTGAATGTTGATTGGTCATATGGTGACGTGGCATCTCCTTGCCATCCCATCATCTACGTGGTGTAATCCAATAGGACATTGATTCACTAACGTAACTAAAGCAACCGATCAATGTGACCGAATCTTTTGTTTTTATTTTTTTGTATATTTTTTGGAGTCACCAGTTGCATTCTTGGGCGTTTCTCTTGTGCATATGTAGAATGATAATGTCCTCTCTCCTCTGGATGCTCTCTACTGCTACAAATCACTCTTAAAATGGATTGGATATGGCTCAGGATAACAGTTCTCAGACTTAATTCCAAGTCTAATTTCGTTAAAGATTTGGGTTGATATTGAGTAAATCATGAAATTACGGCGTTTTGATTTCTTGAAAAATTAAATAATATTATTTTGTCAAAAAATAATAATTTAGTTGGATTTTATTTAGATTTAATGATGTCAAAAGATCTCATGTTTACTGTCTACAAAATTAGAGACTTGCATGATATCCAAGTGTATAGCTTCAAATACTTAATGATTTTTTATTTTATTTTATTGTTTATGAGTTTTATTGAAGCTCCTATACTCTAATTTCTTCTCCCAGGCTTCTTAAATATCTAAATTGATTAATCAGATGATTTAATTTTAAAGCCAATGGATTTGGAATAAATGTACTTGATTGACATTTCTTTTAAATCACGGGGACTCAAGCAGAAAAAGGGTAAAAGTACAGGACTCGAATATAAAATTTAATAATTTAAGCACCAACGTTATGATTGTCCAGTTCGTTGTCTGTGTATGTCTTGGCTTGTCCGCCATGGAGGAGGTCCATTTCAACGCGTGTATACTGCATGCTACTAGCACAATTTCTGTGTTTTCTTCGGGGGAATTTCCTCGCATTTGATTAATTTCCTTTTACCCCTAAAAGAAGTGCATGGTCTCCTTGGTTGCAGGATAACAGACTCTGCTATGATAACTTGAAGTCATCGAGGAAGAAACTGAAACGAAACTTTCTCCGGTGTTTTTTTTTATGAAACGAAACTTTCTCCGGTGTTTTTTTTTTATAAAAAAGTTTAATTTTAAATTTTAAATTATTATATAAAATTTTAATATATAATTTATATTATTTTTTAATATATTCTCTCAATAAAAACTTTTTAAACTTAAAATTTACATAAACCTAATATTATTTTATACTTAATTTTTATAAAATAAATAAAAATAATAAAATTTAAATTTCTAATTATTTAGTTATTGAGGCTATAATACTATATTAAAAAATTAATTTAATTTAAAAATTGAATATATGAGATTACAATAAATTAATTTAATTTAAAAATTGAATATATTAGATGAGATCATAAGATATAATTTATATTATTCTCAAATATTTTTTATTTAAAAATATAATTTAAGTTTTTTTAATATTAAAATATTAAAAAAATAAAATAAAAATTAATTTTAAAATCTTTTTGGTTTTTGATTAGCTCGATGGTGAAGATAAAAAATTTGTTTTTTAATATTAAAATATTAAAAAAAAAATTAATTTTAACATCTTTTTGGTTTTTGATTAGCTCGACGGTGAAGATAAAAAATTTGGGCAAGGTCCAAGCCATTTTGGATCAAGATGCCATTAATTCGGAATAAAACCCAATACAGGCAATGTTTCATGCTTATAGCAATTAATTACTGGATGAGGGACTGTAATGTTTCACAAGAAGATTTTTCCTGGGAGGTATTGACACGTGGTTCGTCACTTTAATTTATCTGTCCAAAAGGAATTGGATAAAAATAAAAGCATAGGAAGGACAATTTTTTATTTATTTATTTTATTTTTTGCATCGTATTCTGTCCAAAAGAAATGACAACGATGTTCGAAACTGCTCAGTAAAACAAAGTTAGATTTATATTTTTATTCCCATTCTTGTTTCATTTGTTTCATCTAAATATTTTAAAAGTGGAATAAAAATTTTCATAGCTATTTTCACCGTTCCATTTCTTGTCACAAGCACCGTTGCACCGTGTTCTCCAAGCATTTAATATTTATTCTTTAGAATAAAATGACGTGCAATATTAATGAAACCTGAGCCTCTATTTTTTTTTATTTTTTTTATTTATTTTTATTCAATTTGAATTGTTTAATATTGTATTACAACCAAGCTTCATAGAAAGAAATTTAATCTCAAACACGGTTTTTTCATATTCAATTTAGTATTTTATCTTCATTTTAATTTCTAAAATTTAGTATTGCATAATATTTTTGTAATTTTTTTTAGAGTGATTATATAACTTTGAAAAGATATTTATTTAATTTCTATGATTTTTATTTAGTTTTTGTAATTTAGTATTTTATTGTTCTTTTTCTTTTGTTTTACTTTTCTTTATTTATTAATTAAAGCTATTAAAAAAATGACCTGTTACAATATGTGAGGGTAAGGTTAAATGTATTTTTTTTGTTTATATTGAAGTTATGTAATAAAAAAATTATTTATGGATAAAAAATAAAGGGATATATTATTGAAACTTATATAATATCTAAAAATATTAATAAAGATTATGTCATTTTAATAATGATTAAGAAGTAAACAATACAAGAATTAATTAACACTGGCCACTTAATTTTTTTAAAAAGTAGAAAACATTAAAAGCCACACGAAGCGCGTAATTTACTTGTAAACTGTATATTATTTTTAAAAATCTTTTTTATTTAAATAAAATTTGTAAATCTCATTTCTTCGAGAATGGTGATGCGAAGTAGTTGGCTTACGTCATAAATATATTTTGAATTTCATGTTATTAATTTGGACTTGGGTCTATACGAAAAAAAAAAAATTTCCTTAGAAATTGTATTCTGATTTTAAATTACTTGTCCAAGATTAAGAAGATATTTAATTGTGGTGTATTCTACCCCCTGGAATTCGGAACCCAAAAGAAAGAAAGGAAGGAAGGAAGGAAGAAAACCTTTGAATGTCGACAGATGTGGAGTTGGGCTAAAAGCCCAATTTGTTTCATTCTCCTATAGATGGGCCTATGCAACACTTTCAACATATTATAGGCCCATAGCCCTCTCCAATATACGAAGCATTCCAAGATCAAAACGCGTACGGCCCCCCCTGAAACGTAGTCCCGCGGCATTTCCCAACATAAGAGATCGGTGGAGACCACCGTGTTTGGCAAGGTGATTTCTTCTCCTTGACTTGATTTTGAACCGAAAATAATTTTCAATTTAGCTTCAAATACTCGATCTGTATCCGCAATTTTTTAGCTTAACTTGCCTAGATTTAAGAATTAATTACATGATTATGGGCGATGATCGTTTTTTTCGTGTATTTTGAAATCTGCCAACACGAATCTAAATTTTCTGAGACAAGAAGGAAAGATGGCTGCACTTTTATTAGTTGATGATTTACAACAATTCTCATCATCGATAATGATCCAGTGCGTGATAATGATTTTACTGCTATGAATCAGCAATTGGATTTCAAAGCAGTGGCAGCGACTCTCGTGATCATTTGTTCTACATTGATATGCATGTTTTTATCCTTTCTTGTTTCTGCATATAATAATGATTTTATACATGTTTCCCTTCCATATTTGTTTCACTATCAGTCACATACTGGTCTGGTTCTCTTCACAAATGATTGAGGTTGGCAGGCATTTGAAATTGCAGATCTTGCTTCGAACATAGCTGATGAATCCCATCTCTTTGAAGAATTGTTTTCTAAATTCTTGGAAGGAAAATACAATTAGTGAATAGTTAGCTGAAGGAGAAACTTTGGTTAACAAGCAGGCAATGAATTGAGTTAAAAACCGTTATGTTAGGATTTAGGCACATTTATCAATCATATTTCGATGTTAAAAAATGAGGCGATTTACTTTTACCTCAACACTTTGCATCTGCATTAGTCGCCTTGTTTGGTACACACAAACCCTTTTGATATCAGAGTTAGCGGAAAGATAAAGCTATGCATGGTACCCACCAAAGAGAAGGATTTTGGCTGAAGAAACTTCCGAGCTACCAAGAGAAATTGCAAATGGTGAGGTCTATTTGTGAGTTATTGATAATTTAAGTTGTTGAGTGGTAGGGTTATTACCTTGTCATGGATTGGCAACATCGGGTACCAGAGTGGACAAAGCGAGCTTTATGGGCCCTTAGAGCTTTACTGAATCGAAGGAGTGTGACATGCCACTGGTGAACGGATTCATATCAAGGTAAGAGATTGGAATTGCAAACTTTTCTTTCTATACTCTTTCAGTATCAACGGCGGAATTAGAAAAATATAAACTGAAGTTGGTGCGCCATCATGGAACTGGACCCTTCATCCAATCCTTGCACGATGGGTCATTTGTCATCTATCACTAGTTGCTTGGTCTGATTTAATAAGCAAATCCTGAGCAAATGTTCCTTGTTCTTCGAAGATGTTTTCTTCAAAGTGTTGATCTTCTTGGGAAGACATACCTTGGTTTGTTAGTATAAAATACTAAAAATGTGTTTGTTAGTATAAAATACTAAAAGATTCGATAACTAGGCTCTGATATTAAAGCTATTAGCTACATACACATTGGTATTATATGTATCATGTTCAAATCAACTTTCCAAATTGGAATCAACTCTCCAATCAAGTTGGCCTTGGTTGATAGAAGAATGATACACCCTTGAGATGCTATCTTTAAAGGAATTCAAGGTAATCTTGCATACGATAAATTAGGTTTTACTTGTAATCCTTAAATTGGTATTCCTTCGAGTATAAAAAATTTGAATTCTACTATTTGCTTAGCACATGAATTCGAACGTCATGATTTAATAGCTAAAGATGATATATCTTTCACAATAACCTATATGATAGGATACAGTCTTAATAATAGTCATCATAATATGATGTTCAAGGCACAAGAAAAGATCTGTATAAATAGCATCTTCAAGGAAATTGGGAAAGCTTCTGCTTCTCACTTTCCATTTCAAGAGACAAAGCCTCTGGAAAACACATAGGCTATGGATTTTAGCTGAAAACCATTATTGGGCCAACAACCCAAGTTAACAATTACTGGATCGGGTTTTAGTAATCCAACATTAGATAATTCAATAGTAGTGAAAACCATTCTCTGTGTAGATGATAATCAATAGTATAATCATCTAATGTTGGATTACTAAAACCCGATCCAGTAATTGTTAACTTAGATTGTTGGGCCAATAATGGTTTTCAGCTAAAATTCATAGCCCATGTGTTTTTCAGAGGCATTGTCTCTTGGAATGGAACATGGGAAGCTTTCCCAATTTTTTTGAAGATGCTGTCTATGCAAATCTCTTCTTGTGCCTTGAACATCATACTATGATGACTATTACTAAGATTGTATCATATCATATAGGTTACTACTAGGTTACTGCTGTGAAAGATATATCTTTTCTTGTGCCTTGAACATCATACTATGATGATTATTACTAAGATTGTATCCTATCATATAGGTTACTACTGTGAAAGATATATCACCTTCAGGCATTAAATCATGATGTTTAAATTTATGTGCTAAGCAAATAGTAGAATTTGAATTCTTTGTACTCAAACGAATACCATTTGGGGATTACAAGTAAAACCTAATTTATCATAAGCAAGATTACCTTGAATTCCTTCAAAGAGAGCATCTCAAAAGTGTGTCATTTTTCTATCAACTAAGACTGGAAAGTTGATTTGAACATGATATATATAGTACCAATGTGTATATAGCTGATAGTCTTGGCTACTTCAGGTTTGAGTTTCGCTAGCTTCTGATTTATCTTATCGTCGAGAACTAGAGGGATTTTCGTTAAACCTCTTGTGTGTTTAATATCCAAAGGATATTCTCGGGTACTGATACATGGTTGTGTCGAGATTTGATCTTATTTTTGAATCTTTCTGCAAAAGAAAGTTGTCTAAAAACTTCATTAGTAGATAAAGCAAGTTTAACAATCAATGTTATATTTTTTATATCCTTTAAAAGATAAGAGTTTCTTTGATGTAAATGCTATTAGGATGAATCCTATTAACAGCATTAAAATCAAACCAGAGGAGCTTCTCGAACGATTCACTCAGAATACAAAGAAAGAATCTATTCTTTCCTTATAAAAGTTCCCAGAACATAAAAGTAGAAAACTATTATCACAATGCTTTTAACTGCTATTAATAATTCTCACATGAAAGGGATAAAGTAGATAATGCATGACAACAGGCTGCATGGCAAGGAAAGATGCTCTATTTCTAAATTCACCATTCCCAGGTTGTGGTCCTTTGTTTAAATCAAAGAAGCTGGAACAAATAGAATATGGATTGTGGGATTGTACAGCTAATGTGGAATCGAGCATCTAATCTCACATTCTTTGACTAGTTTAAGTGTACGGACAGGTCCAATACGTGTTTGGCAGATTAAAACCCGACTGGAGCACCCTTGAATGGAATAAAACTTAGAATCACAATTGTGTTATGGAGTCCTCCAAAACCCTTGTTATGCTCTTCCTTTTCTAGTTTAGATGGCATTTGAAAGAGCAAGGTCATCATGTAAGAGATAGATCATAAACATAGTTCGACCAAAAGTAGCATTACCAAGGGAAACAGGATATGAAAACATGGTCTTTAGAGAGGTCAATCTTAGGGCTTGCATACAGGAATAATATTAAGAAAGCTTATGTTCTTGTTTTATCGAAATCGGTTTGGGAAGGGATGCGCATCAAAACTGTACCCATTAAGCAAGTGATGTTAAGCTGTATAATTTCCTCTTGATAATAAGTGCATGTAAGCTGCGGAGTTAATTAAGTAACTAAGGTGATGCCAAGAACCGTGAATGCAGTTGAAATTTGTCTCTGAATTCACTGAGCACAACTTCCCAACTGCCTTGCTTTAAGGCCCAATCCCAAATTCACCTAACAAGATTTCATACTCTGGCAGTGCTCCTTACGTAGGTCTGGACTCTGGCGCTAATTTGGTCAGCATTCTGGCTTTGAACCTTTACTGAAATTGAATGCCCCCTCCGTCCTTTTTCACTCTCTCTCCCCATCTCTCCGATGAAACTAGTGCACCATGGTCTACAACTACTAAGAAATCGTAGACTCACCTCACATAGAGAAATATATAGAAATAAGCTTTAATTGTATGGTAACATTATCAAGCACACACAGAAATCTCTGTTCAGAAAAAGACTAGTGGTTTACATTTTCCCTCACTGAAATTGCAACTTTTTCCTCTGTGTCTCTTTCTCGGGTGAACACTTGGGGTCAATACCACAGCAGTACTAAGAAAACATAGACTAAGATAAGTAGACTCGTACGTCATTACAAAGAGAGATATGCGTTTAACTGGACATAGCTGCACTTATGTTGTTGTCATTTTGAGGAGAAGACTATATATAAAATATGTAGGGGATTTAGACCTAAGCTGGACATGGAAAACCATGACACTTAATTTATGAGGTTGAAGTGTCAGGGCTTGTGATGCTGGGTGTAGATATAGTCCAAGTGAGCCTCTGCAATTATCCTTCTCTTGAAACATTCCTCGTCTCCACTATGACACACCTCTAACCCCATTAGCTGCTGAAAACATATAGAAAAAAAAAAAAAAACTTATATAAGCTGTAGTTCATTAATGACGAAATCGCGACAGTACAGAAAAAGGGTGGAGCTTACATTCGTTATTAATTCACTGTCCTCCGTTTGCGCAAAAGCCCCTTCGCTGATGATTTCTTTCAGGTTCAAATCCTCTTTCCCTGCAAAACATGCAAAACTTCAGTTTCTGAAAACAGCAGACTATTTCCAACAAAGTAGGTAAAGGAGGAAGATTACCTTGTTTGCTTAATAGGAAACGCGCAGATAATTCTGAGGAATGAACAAGGACAAGAAGGAAGAGGAGAAGAGCTTTGTAATGAAGGGTCTGCTTCATGGTTTTAGCCTTCTAGATTATGTTGCCCACAGGCAGAGAGTTTAAGCTTCTAGATATGGGGGCTGGGAGTTGGGGTGGTGGAAGAAGAAGATAGGCGCATATATATACATGCGGACCCAAAACGCTGTAAAAGAGTCACATGAAGGTTCGCAAAAACGGCCGTTGCATGACCTCACCTCGTGGGACCGCCCTACCTTGGTAAACTGCACTCCATGCTGTGTGCTAACACCATTATTTGGATTCAAGAGAGAAAAGCTTTGGTCACTGTCTGCCATAGTGGTCTGGGCGAGGTCTCAAGACTACAAAAATAAATGCAATAGTGGTTGACAGTGTCAACAAGTCAACCTTTAGACATGAACACAGCTGTTGCCCATCATCACATGTTGTACCTTTCACAAGCCAATGGCACGTAGCTGCGTTTACGATGTTTGGTCTTAAACTATGAATAAATATATCATATTAAAGCAAAAGCATTTCTTTAGAACCCATGGCTGGAATTGCCCCCACATGTTAAACAACTACAATAGTGGCAACACCACCAATGGCTTCAGTGGCAGGGTCCTTTTCTACTACCATCGACGCTCGTGGATTTGTACCGAAGTCCTTTCCTTATTTAAGATTTCTGGGACTAAATTTTGAGACTTTCTATGGACTCCACCTCTATCGGTGCTAGGCGTGCAAGATAATCACGTATGGTGGAATGCCACCACATTTTTAGAGTTTTCCATACTTGATCTTATCCCTTATCAACAAGGTAATGGAGTGTTTTAAAATCCATCGGAGATATGCTTCTCTTTTAGAAGATTTGAATCTATCATTTGTTGCTCTAGGAGTAAAATATTCCGCAAGAAAGCAATTTCTTGGGCTTGGATTGTGTGAAGGCTTATGTTTATTGAATCATCTGATTCTCTGGTGAATCGAGCTGGAATATTGAAGGTTCATGTCTGCTAGTTTCAGACAAATCAGAATAGAAAATCTTGATGTAGCATGAGAAGCCTTTAGACTATATTCATGTTATAGTGGTAGTAGAATATCGATTTGACATTAGCATCGGATAGTGATATCCTTGTTTTTTTATATGTATATTTAAATTAACCATCAGTGTCGTGCATGTTCAATTTATTTCGATCCGCGCTTTGCTTCTTTTTTTTTTCTTTAAAAAAAAAAGAGTTTCAGAGATAAATGATAATACTTGGGCAAGTCTTTTTTTTTTTTTTCTCTCCTGGGAGGCAGTGAGCATAAATGCCCCTGGGCAAGTCTTTTTCTTTTCTTTTCCTTTTCTCCTGGGAGGCAGTGAGCATAAATGCCACCCCTGTATCATTGGTTGCTAGCAATATCTTGCTGTTGGCAAAAAACAGGGCATTCTATCATTATATGAAACATTGCTAGATAATATTTTCCCGTAAACTAAGATGCTATTATATTTCCTTGTGCTCGAAAAAGAAAGGTACGACAATTTACTCACCGCCTATAACAAATGCATTCTACTGATTAAATCTCTAGGGATAAAATCTCATGAGAAGGTCTCTAATTTCATATGCTAGACAAACTCTTCCCAACCTGTGATCTCGTTTAAGGCACGATTATAAGTCATATTATAGGAAAAAAGGGGGTTAGTTTCTCTTTTTTAAACATGATATTATTTTAATTTTATTTTTAAATCAAATTATGTTTTCATTGGATTGACCACTAAATAGATTAAATTGACTTTATTTAAAAATAAAATTGATACAGATTAAGAGTTTGATTGACTCTCTGAGCCAGACTAAATTTTATAACTATGATACTGTAGAATACAAGTTTACCAGTTCGTTGTAAATTTCGTAGGAATAGAGAGGGATGCTTGGATTTTTTTTCTTTTCTTTTTTCATGGAAATAAACTTGTGCCCACGTATTTTTGGTGCATAGTTTGGTATTTGGGCCGGCAGCTTTTGAATGCAGCATGCGTATCTTGGGCAAGAAAAGTTACTTATGGTACGGTGATAAGGATTATTTTTTAAAATATTTTTAGTTTAAAGATATATTGAATTAATATGTATTTTTAATATTATGACATTAAAATAATTTTAAAAATAAAAAATAAGTTGAAGTAAAAAAAAATTTCTGAAATATAAAAACAAACAAGAAAAAATAATAATAAAGATGTGCTGATTGGCATTTTAAAAAGGAAATTAAATTTTAGTTCTTTCTCATGTTTCCAATGAATCAAACAAATCCCTTGTAGAAAAGGCGAATATATGGACGTGACCTTCCTTCGGGAACAGCAAACATAAAATTGATTGTTCATGCATCCATTTTTTGGCTCTTTGCACCGCCCATAGCCGCGGCCCCCCCACCCCCTCTTTTTCTTTCTTGACTTGTCAGTCTGAGGGTCTCTCGATAAACTTCGGGCACCGAATCAATAAAGCAATTCCTCTATCTCTCTGTAAAAAGCCATCAAGATTCTACTGACGATGTGGTTTTTACTCCGTGGAGTATTTTTATGGTCCTCTCTAGATTACCTGACCCAAAAGAGAATTATCTTAACGGGGCAATGGTCCATTCTGCTTTGATTGATGATTCTACTGCCTAAGGAGTTGGTTTCATGGGCCGGTCTGTAAATGTAATTGGGCTCTGTATACCCTTCTCTTCCCTAGCTGAACAAGGCGAAGACAATTCTGTTGCCTGTCTGTTATGCTGTGCTTGGAGGCATCAACTCCTTCAACCAAGAAAACGATCCCTGTGATGACAAAAGCAGACTACTTGACTCAAGAGCAAGACAATGTTGCTGTGCATAATAGCAATCAATGGATATGACGAACCATATCGGAATTCACGAGACTGGTGATTATTAGAATATCAAGAGCAAAATTCAAACCCTGAATCTGCCTCTATTCCTAGCTTAATCTTCAGGGTCCGGGATTGTTAGCGCCAGCAGCTTGTTTGAAAATGGGTAAAAGAGGACAGACACATCGTAGTGATCAAGGGCGAAACAGATGGCCATGATGTATAAATTATATGGTAAACTTGGTGGTTGAGTGGGGCGAGCTTTTTCATTAAAGAGCATGCAAAAGCTTTCTTTTTCTGCCGTAAGATTTCCTTTTGCTTTTTACTTTTTTCGGAACCACCCAATGCTGTAGGGAAAGTTCCTAACTCCAATGCATGCCATTTCCCTTCTACACGGAGTGTTTGTCTTTTTGTTTTAAAGTGTTTTAAATTGATATTCTTTTTCGTATTTTTAATATACACATATATCCACATTTTACACCACATTATACATACGAATACCTAAATCTATAAGCCTTTTTTAGCATTCCCATGGTGATGGTCTATAAGGATCTTTCTCTTTCACTCTACTTTCTGTGCACTTGCGGCTTCTCCAAGTAACATGACAACACCTTCTTTTGCCTGTGGACGCATGAAGACACATGGGAAATTTGGGGGGAAAAATGGATTGGCATAAAAATTACAATTCAAGGACTTGATTGCACATCTTTCTTGATACGAGCTTCAACATGGCACTTCCATATATCTGAATTCCCGTATTCCCTTTCGAGATTTTACGTTAAAAATCTCATATTTTAATTGTTGGAGGCTCCTGTTGAACTGTAATTTGAATGGATTACATCATATGTTATACGTCAAGTCCACAATTCTATAGCCTAGTCCCATCATCGAATGTGCCGCCAGTAAGCCCAAGCATTCCTAGAGTCCTTGTCTGGTCGTTGTTTACACGCTTTAATCTTCATTGAACATGCCATTACCATTCTATTATAGGATAATTGCGGTGTCAAATCCGACAAGAGGTGCCTTGAACTTTCTCACATAATGCATTAGGTTTGGTGCTAATTTGTACCTTCGATGCCAACTAACTCTTTTTGGTTGTTTAATTCTTGATACAGTCATCGTCACTCGTGGCTAGTGAGTGGAGTTTTGCCATTTTTCTTGTGCTCATGCTAGACATGACCTAAGCTTTTTGTATGAACAATGGGTCCCCTCGTCTGTGCAGTGGCCATTAGGCCACATTAAAAACCAAATGGATTGGATTAAGCATTGATTAGGTGGAGGCCTAGTGGTTGATAAAGATAAACTTGATTAAAAAACAATTAGATATTCTGGTAAGGATTGTTTTTAGTCAAATCAGTAATATTAATATTTGAAGTGGGATCGTTGAATCAGGACACTCCAACTCAGTAACACTCACATAGTCTTTCAATGACAGCAATCAAGTTTTAAATGCCTTGCAGCTCGGACATGGTCTACAGAAATATACATATTTTAAAAATTACATCAAGTCGTCAACCACGTTGAGATGGCCGAGTTGGTCTAAGGCGCCAGATTAAGGTTCTGGTCCGAAAGGGCGTGGGTTCAAATCCCACTCTCAACATTATTGTTATATTTGCAAAAGACAAATCTAAAATTTTAAAATTCTTCTGAATACCAAAATATCAAATCAAATTGATGAGAGAAAGAATCCCTTCGTTACATCACCCCGGGAACTAAACGTTCTGGGTATTTTTAGGTATTTTACTGTAGCTTGATTCATAATAAAATATATCTTTGATTGTAATAAAATTATCTAATGGTATAACTATATATTTATTTTCAAAGTAAAAAAAAATATTAAGATATTAAAAATGCATATTTTGAGGTGTTTTTAAAATTTAATATACGGTACAATTATATTTTTAATTCTGAAATAAATAAAATATAAGCTAGATATTTTAGGTTATTTTTATACTTTCATATTAGTATTTTATGTAATTACTAGAATTATTAAAGTCATTTTGTTATTTTAAAATATCAAATTTTGAAATGCTTGAAGTTGTTGAAGTGTGCTCGGCACATTCCAGCATAAGAATGGTATCTATATTATTCAGGCAATGTTTGTCACTTGATAAATATAATTGATTTTCATTATCTATTTAAGTTAGATAAGCTGTCATATCTTCTTTTATTTGAAGTGGTACATGACAACTTACAATAATTGGATTATTGTTGATGATTGTTTGATTCCCCTCTCTCTTCTTGGCAAGTAATGTACTTCGCAATATTTGTTTTTTACTATTCAATTTCAGTCAGCATTTTATTAATTTTTTATTTCATACATCTTTCTATTTATAAAAATTTTTATTTTTTTAATTTAACTTTTCAATTACAATTTCTTATATAGTTTTTAACTTTTCAATTACAATTTCTTATATATTTAAATTTTTATTCAAATACTTATTTTTAAATTTTGTTAATGGCACTTTTATTATTTTTTAAACTTCATCGTTCAATCAAATTCTTTATTGTTTTGATTTTTTCTCCTTTATTAAATTTATTTTTCAATTTAATTAAACCTTTCAATTGAAATTTTTTGTCCCTTTAATTATTGTTTTTTCTCATCCTTATTTTTTCTGATCCTTTTATGTCTTTTTTTTTTTACATTTAACTTGTCGGGAATTCGGTTTCGTATAATATTATTGTTCTACTTTTTTTTTTAATATTGGTTTCATGATTATTTTTAAGTTTTTTCTAAGGGTTTATCCCATTCTAATAACTTAATTCTTCATTTTTGCTTTGTTTTTTAATATATATTTTTTAGTTTTTTTGTTTCTATTTTATTTTTCAAGCTATTATTTTAATTCATCTATGATTTTTTTATACAAACGAAGTTTATTTTTTAAAATAAAAAATATTCATTTTTAAATTATCTTGCTAATAAATTCGGCCTTGTGTAATATTTTTTATAGCATGAGTTTATTCAATCGTTTTTATTTATCTTTTAAGTCATGAGTGTTTTAGAATATATATTTATTTTTTATTTATTTCAAAAAATAAGTTTAGTATATACAATACAATTGAAGTAAATTGCATACCCAATATTTTGATCTTGCTTGCGTAGACTTTTCAATTTATATTTGTCTTTTAGAGTATATATTTATTTTTTAAGTCATCGTTTTTTATCTTGTTTATGTAGACTTTTCAATTTATATTTTGATTTTTTCATAAAAAAAACACATTGAAGTAATTTGCATACCCAATATTTAAGAAAAAAAAAACAGTACAAAGTACAGGTTATTTTTTAAAAAAAAAACAGTACAAAGTACAGGTTAAATGACAAGCCTACAAAATATAATTTGTGTTTATCTATTATTATC